GGGGCCGGGGGCAGGGGGCCGTGGCCCCCCTGCTCAAGCGCAGGCTCTGCGCCAGCTCGGCCGGCGGCGGCACCAGGTGGAAGATCTGCTCCGGCGGGGGGGCCGGGGGGGTCTCGTCGGGGCCTCGGGGGCAGGAGGAGCTGGCGGGGGTGATGCTGAATTCGGGGCTCCAGCTGGGAACGGGCAGGGGGAGAGGGACCGTGCTGCCGGAGCCAGGAGCTGTGGGTGGAAGGGAGAGATAGCAGGTCGGTGGGATGCTCCCGCATCCATCGCCCCTGCTGCAGGTATCGGGGTTGGGGTGCGGGGCACATCCTGCACCCGCCCCAGCTGCAGCAGGGAGCAGCCGGCGGTTTGGGGCAGCTTCTCCTTTCTCGAAAGAGGAAGCCGGGAGCTCGGGAGTCACCTTTTGTACCGCTGCCCGGACGCTTCTGCTTTCCCCCCCGGCATGCAGCCAAGAGGCCCAGCTCTGCCCAGCCCTGAGGCATCTGCATCCATGCCGGGGACCCTCCCGCCAGGACAGGGTCCCCCATCCCTGCACCCCATGGGAACATCCCCATTCCTCCGTGCCCACATACCTTGCGGCTGGGACAGAACGACGACATAGCTGGACAGACGGACATCGCAGGCTGTCCCGCACTCCAGCGGGATGGGGTAGCGATGGAAGTGGTGCAGCATCTCCACGATGGAGGAGAAGCGGAGGTGCTGGACGCGGCACTGGCCCCGCTCTGTCAGCGCCAGCCGCAGGTGCTGTGGGGAGGAACACGGACCTGTTACCTTTCCACTGGCTCCCTTGCTGGAGTGGACGATGGGGGGACATGGGGATATTTGTGGGGGGGGAACAGGGGACACAAACAGCTTTAGCATGATGCGCTGCATCCCCAGCCCGCAGTGCCCGGCTCGCTGCAGGGGGTTTTGCCCCCCAGGGGTGGGGATGGAGCTGCCAGCCCCCTGCAAGCATCAGGGCAGGGACCAGGCAAGGAGAGCATCTCCCTGGGGTGGGATGCAATGGGACAGGGACCGTGCTGGGCACTGCCTGAGGGGCTCCTGTGAGATTCCCCCACCCTGCCCCAGCCCCTCTCCTGCCCGTACCTTTGCTCTGCCCTGGAAGTTGAAGGTAAGCACATACTCGCCGCGGCGTGTCTCACTCTGCCGCACCAGGAAGACGCCATGGCCCTCCAGCCCCCGCAGCTGCACCAGCTGAGCCGCCTTCACGCGGGAGATGGGCCCGTGGAACCAGGGGCAGGAGGAGAGGAACTGCTCCATCTTCGGCCCTGCCGCCTCCCCTGGGCCCCCCGGTGTCGCCCCTGCCAGGGCACAGGGATGAGCACCCCAGGGAAGCAGGGACCCTGCCCATTGCCCCCCTCCCCTCTGTCTCTGGCCTCCTGCCATGCCATTTGGGGATGCCCGATCAGCATGGCTGGCCATGGCAGGATGCAGGGACCTCCCTGGTGAGGAACCTCCCCCCTGTCCCTGGGGTCCCCTGGGTGTCCCTGCTGCTCACCTTGGCTGTCGGTGCTGGTGGTGGGGCTGGCGGCCGCGGGGTCGGTGTGCCGGCACGCCAGGAGCTCAGGGTCGCCCATGTCGGACCTGCCGGGGACGGGAGAAGCCAGGCTGAGCGCTGGCAGCGGGGGGCCGGCACGGTGCTGGGGGACATGGAGCGGCTGTCACCATCCCCAGGCCCAGGGACACCCGCCGGGCGCTTACCCCCTGCGCGCACACTCCCGGATCTCAGCCGTCCAGGAGCTGAGCTGCTGCTCGTCCCCTGCCTCGAACACAACATCAGTGGCATTGGTGACCTGGGGGACATCGGAGAGGGACAAAGGGGCTTCAGAGAGAGAGATGTGCATCCCCCACCCACCCACACCTGGGGACCGACCCTGACCCCAGCCACAGCAGAGCATCCCCCACCCCGAATGCCGCATCCTCCCATGTACCCCCTCCCTGGCTGGGAAGAGGAACCGAAATTTGGCATGGGAGCTTTTGGCAGCCACGTGCACCCCGGAGGGTGGGAAAGGCCTTGGGGCCAGCTGAGGAACCCCTTGGCCAGGCCCTACCTTGAGGACGAAGGTATGGAGGTTATCGGGCATCTCGAGGCGTGTGCACCTCCGCACCTCCTGGACGGTGGAGCAGGCGGCGTGCAGCTTCGGCTTGGAGCCCTGCGGAGGGGAGCATGGAGGCTGAGCTGAGCCCCAACACCCCCACACCCCAAAATGCCGCCCTACGTCCCGCTGCTCTGCTGGGATGGGGGTCGAGCCTGCTGGGAGTCACCCGAAGCACAGCAGCCGGCAAGGAAATACCCTGCTCTGCAGGGAAAAACCCCGCTCTGCAGGGAAATACCCCACTGGCAAGGAAATACCCCATGTGGCAAGGAAATACCCTGCCCGGCACTGCCCGGCTGCTGTCAGGGCACCCCGGGGGGGGGCCGAGTGGCGCCCAGAGCGGGGACCCATCTCGGTGACCCCCAAGAACCCAGCAGCAGAGGGATGGGTGGAGGAGAGGAGGGAGAAGGGGGTTCCCAGCATGGCAGTGTGTGCTGGGGAGACTGTGCACCGATGGGCAAATTGGGGTGCAGGCAGGGAGCACCCTGGTTTGGGGGGGGGGGGTTAGCAGCGCACTTGGCAGTGGCGTGCCGAGAGCTCCCTGCGGCCGCCTGGCCGGTTTGGTGCTGACACAGGCACATGACAAAATGCTGAGCAAACACTTCCAGAAAGGCTAATAATACCCCTCCAGGCAGCTTTCGGTTCCCCTGCTGCCCAGCGCACCCTGTGCGCCGGCAAGTGAGCCGCTGACCACCGCGAGGCTGCGGCATGTGGCACCCACCCAGCCGCCACTGGGACTGGGCTGCATCCAGGGCGATGGCGACACTTCTGGGTGCAAAACCGGGACCCCCACCCCCTGCACTGGTGCTGGGTGATGGAGCCAACCCCTCCATGCTCATCCCCGTGGCCGGAGCCAAGCGCACGGCTCTGCAAGCAAGCTGCCCCGTGCAACCTGAGACAGCCCAACCAGTACCAGTGTGTGCCGGGCACAATCGTCCCTCTGGGCCACGCTTGCTGCCAGCGCAGCATGACAAAATTTTGTCTGGTCGTGATTCACGCGGCAGCTTCAGCATCCCACGGGCTGAGTCACCGCACCCTGCACCGGCCCCAGAGCTCCCCTCCGATCCACGGCCCCCATCCCAGCGCGTGATGCCGGGCTGCAGGCGCTTCGTCAACCAAAGTGCCTGAATTTTGCTCTGAGCTTGCGATGTTTGCAGCAAAGCCACCCCCTCCCTGTCCCTAACCAGCTGCACAACCCCGGGGGGGGGTCCCCCACAAGGTACTGGGGGACACGGCACACTCCACACCGTGCTGGTCACCCAACCAAACCATGTTTGGTTGCTTCTTTTTTCCATTCCCCCCCTTCTTCCTCCCTCCCTCGACACTCTCAACCGAGGACTTGGTGTACTTTGGGGCCGGAAACACAGTGCGAGAGGGATCAGCCCTTATCAGCGCCGAGCTGCACCGAAAAGAAAGTTCTTAGAAGTCATTTGCCGAACGGCATCGTGCAATGGGGTTGGCGCTACCACGGCGGCTCGCGGCACCCCCCGGCCCCAGTGCCAGTGCTTTATCCCAAAGGAGTTTTATTTTTTTGCCATCCTTGGAAGATAACTGCATCCTCTGCAAAGTCCTGCAGGGACAAAGTGAAGGGGTTGCCCATCCTGGCTGCTTTCCCACCCATGGGCTGTGACATCCAGCACGTCCCCGAGCTCGCCGGCACGGTGGGTGTTATCGGCACACATCCCGACCGCGGTGTTGGGGTCAGCCTCCCACTTTCCTAGGAAGTGGGAAATTCCAGGAAAAGGGATTTCGTCGAAGCCCCCTGCGTCGCTCCCCGGGGAGAGAGCAGACGGGGAGTGTGAAGGGAGAAGGAAATGATGCAGCAGAGAGATACGGCACCCGAAAAACTAGTCTGGCTTCGGAGAAGCGCCTACCGCAGGCACGGTGCCCCCGCCCCCCGAACTGCCGCACCTGACCGCAAGATGCCCTGCTCGATGGTGGCCGCTACCGAGAAAGGGATTTCTTGGTAACCAAAACTGCTCACTCAACACACCGCGTGTTCACTCAGCGCCCACGGGCTGCTTCTCGGCAAGAGAGGTGCCACAGCAGCATCATGGGGCTGGGTACCCCCCTCCGCTGCCGGCTGGGCTTGGGATGCTCAGGATGGGATGGGATGCTCAGGATGCTTGGGATGTTGCCCCAGCTCAGCCCCCAGCCCAACCAGCATCAGCTCCCACCCCAGAGACTTCACCCCACCACTCCCCAGAGGATCCTGTGCACATGGGGGAAACCCCAGCAGAAGGTTGAGCTCCCCCCCAAAATCACCCGGGGACACGATGCCCTGCAAAGTTGCGCTCCCAAGCCCCCAGAACACAGCCACCACCATGCCATCGCTGCGGCATCCCCGGTCCCAACACCCGGCATGCAAAACCGGCCATCCTGGGGCACGACACGGGTGATGTCCGGCTCACAAGGCTGACGGCAGCAGGATCCAGCCCTGCTCCCCCAGACTCCCTCTCCCTGCAGGGGCTGATAGGAGCAAGACACTGCTGGGGACATCGGGCCACTGATGGGGACGACAGTCCTGTCAGCTGGGGACGGAGGTGCCACGCCGGCTATCAGCGCCTACTCAAATTTAGTGCTTGCGAGTGGTGTCCTCCCACCTGTGGTCTGCTGACCCCCCGTATTTGTATTTTTGTTCTTTGCAGGGGATTTTTTCTAGAATTTAAAAATAGGAAGCTTCAGCCAGGCCTCAGCTGTCCCCACTGTCAGGGGACACGGGGCAAACTGGAAGATGGAGGAAATTTACCCCCAGGACAAAACTCCCTCCTGCTCAGAGCATCCCGTTGGAGCCCACGGCTTGACCCAGGGGGGACACCCCACTGCACCCCCATCCCACATCCCTGCATCCCTGACCCCCGGGGGGATCCCTGTGGGGTGTCACGGAGGGGTCCCCGTGGGGCGCAGCGTAGGGAGAACCAGCATGGCACGGGGAGTGCTGCCACGGCATCTGCGGCCACCGCGCACCTGGGGAGGGCAGGACGGCCGGGAGAAAGTGGGGTTTGCCAGCATCTGCCAAATATAGGAAGGAGACCGACGCCAGCTCGGCGCTGTGGTCGTGCCGGGAGCACAAGCTGAAGGTCAGGACAAGGTCACAGCTGCGCTTGGGCGTTGCAGGCGCGGAGCGGAGCTGCTGCGTTTCCGCCTTGCAAACCCTCGGTAACAACTCTCACCGCAGCGCCTTTGCCCGCCACTTTATTTACTACTTGTGTTTACGCGAGGCCAGTGTGCGGGCGGCCACGGTGCCGGTAGGCTGCCCGTGCTGACGAGCGCCGCCAGCTCCTTTCGCGGTGATCCTGCCTCCGGCAGCCTTCACAGCACACCTTTCCGCTTGCTTTTCTGGCTTTCACATGCGAGCGGTGGTGAAACGACCTCCCAGGAGGGCTGGCTCAGCACGGCGGGTCCCCCCTCACCTCCACAAGAAGGATATTTTGGATTTCTATATTTTTTTTTTTGAAGCAAAACTCCTCCCAGCCCGCCCACATGTGCTGGGAAAGCTCTCGCTGTGATTCTCTGAGATGCTGCTGTAAGGAGCACGACCTGCGTGGATGCAGAGGGAACACTGCAGATGCATGGAGTGCTTTTTCCGCTTGGGTGAAGAGGAAGGCAGCCAGTTTTCCAAGAATGAGAGCGAAATGACACTGCCATGCTGCCCACACCCAGGAGAGCTGCGGGTGCCTCTAGGATTGACCGGCAACAGCACTGCCCACGCACCGGCAGGGTGCTGGCACCCACCATCCACCCAGACACCCCTGGGCTCAGCCGATTTCTGCTGGGTCCCCAAAACGCTGACACCACCTGCAATACTGGTTTGTGTGGGAGGGAGCTGGAGCCACCCACCCTTCCCAGCGGATCTGGCCAGTGCCCAGTCCCCCACTGGCAAAGGCAGCAGTGGCATGGGGATGACAGTGGTGGCACAGCAATGACGGCAGTGGCATGGTGATGATGGTGGTCACACAGCAATGACAGTGGTGGCACAGCAGTGACGGTGGTGGCAGGGGGATGACAGTGGTGGCATGGTGATGATGACAGTGGCATGGCAATGACGGCTGTGGCACGGTGATGAGGGTGGTGGCACAGTGATGACAGCTGTGGCACAGTGATGACTGGTGGCATGGTGATAATGACAGTGGCATGGCAATGATGGCAGTGGCACGGTGATGAGGGTGGTGGCACAGTGATGACACGGTGATGAGGGTGGTGGCACAGCGATGACGGTGGTGGCAGGGGGATGACAGTGGTGGCACGGTGATGATGACAGTGGCATGGCATGGCAATCTGTGGCATGGCGATGACAGCGATAGCACAACCATGGCGGTGGGGCCGGCTGGCCAAGACTGTGCAGAGCAGAGAGCAAATCCTTCGAGAGCGGCGGGCGCTGCCGCCAGACCCTCCACGCGCCGGGGATTTCCCTGCGTCGGCTCTTTCGCTTCCACTCTGAGTCACGCCACGGGAGGCGGGGAAGCGCCGCGAGCCCTTGTGCAAGGTCCCCGACAGATATGGGTGAGATTTGTTGCTTCTTGTAAATCACAGAGCCCGCCGTGTACCCCTTACGCATGGGACAAACCTCAGCTGGAGCTGCAGCATGCCCAGGCATGGCTCAGCCCCGCCAGACTGCCGGTGGATGGACAGACGGACGGACAGGCAGGCCACTGAGATCTGCAGCGCTGCAAGCACTGGGTTATGCCGGTGTAAAACCACATCCCGCACCCACGGCCCTGGGGAGTTTTGTGAAGTTTCCCAGGAGCACAGAGACATGCAGCCCCATCCCGGGGGATGCCGGGTGAACTGGAGGGGAAACACGTCCCGTTGCCCTGGCACAGGGCAGCAGGGCGGCAACAGGCGTCCTGGGGGGCTGGCGGGAGCGAGGGGCACCAAGGGTCGTGCTCGAGGGTGCAAGGTGTCTGCTGCACCGGCAATTGCCCTCGGGGGTTTGCACCATGGGTAATCCCCACGTTCGTCCTCGGGAACTCTGCATCACAGATAATCCCCGTGTTTGTCCTTGGGAGTTTACACCATGGTTAAGCCCAACGCTCATCCCTGGGGACTTTGCACCA